CGTTTCTCGGGGAACAGTTTTTATGTAACAATGTTGTACAATCCGATTACACTAAAAACGCGATTTTTCGATTTTTTCAAAAAAAAAACAACACGTCTTTTTCTAATTTATGTGCAAGATTCAATACGCGATTTTTTATTTTCAATTAAAAAAACATGCTTCTTTCTAATTCATTGAGTTTTATAAAAAGACCTAAAGGGTAATTGTAACTTTGTAAATTTCTGTTTAACTGTTTTGCAATTCTGTATATATAACATCTAATACACCATACCATGTCCATTGTTTCTGCTTGTTCCGTCCGAGAAAACTCATCTACCTGCTACGATATTCCATATGAAGAGTACTTCAAATTTATTCCTTATGAAAAGTGGTCCCTTCCGCATTATGTTTCTTTGATCATCGATAATTATGAACATGCTGAAAGGGACAAGGCCCATCACGCATTTTATAGCACCTTGCTTAAGATTAATGACAATCCAAATGCATCGCAAGAAATTCGTGATGTGATCCAAAAACTTATTGATGGAAAAAAGGTAAGTGTAGTATAGATAATAAATTGATATGGATGGGGTTTTTAGCCAGGTTCTTGTATCTTATTGGGTTCGTCCTGATAGGTGTGGGGTAATACTTACCCCTGCAAGTACTGATCAAATGCGTTTACTGGGTTCGTCCTGATAGACATCATGAGATCTATTAACATAAGTTTTTGGTAAAGGTCTACTGATTCCGGAGAAGGAATCGGTTATGTATCTCCCTTTATGTGGGCTAGGTGCTGTAAAAAGGGACGAAATTGACAATTTTTTTAAAAGCAATTTTTTTTTACATAAATCAATTTAAAATAAGATTAGGATCATTTTTCACTTAAGACACAGAAGCAGTTGTATTAATAAAATTTTGTCTTTAAAGTTTGCATTTTCTTATGATTTATTATAATATTTATAACATAAAATTTGATTTTCCGAAGATCTTTTTTTTTGTCAATTTCGTTCCTTTTCTCAACACCTAGCCCATGTAATAAAAAATTTAACTGTTGGTATATCTTTGCATTTGTCCATCTTTATCCCATTTTGTCTGATTATGCTTATTGTAAAAATATTTTCTCATTTTGTTTTACTTTCGTAAAGGCCGATAATAAGAAAGTAAATAGCTTATGGAGTAAGGTAAAAAAAGCATTATCAGCACTACCATCACCGTCGTCATCATCAGCACTACCATCACCGTCGTCGTCATTAGCACTACCATCACCGTCGTCATCATCAGCACTACCATCACCGTCGTCATCATTATTAGGAAAGAGACGAAATACTGAAAACATAACAGATTCTTTACTGGAGAAAAAACAATGTGTAATTCCGAAAATGAATTTCTTTTTTCCTAATGACGATATACCTTTGCAAGTCAATGATTCAATACATGTTCTTGAGGTGGTGAAGTCTGTTGTCCGAACGTTCGATAAGAATACTATTGCACAAGGATCTTTCCGCTCTTACAAAAGTTCTAATCATTTGCAAGTAGATTCCAAATACAATGTACATGTTCCCAGAGAGAGCGTTTATAATGCAGAGATGTATCGAATCCTGCATAATTGGCTCGTAAAGGTACATGGTTTTGATATCATCGGACAATGGCATCTCAAAAAAGTTTGTGAAGACGGTGGTTATCATCACCTTTATTGCGACCTTACTATTAAAAAAAGTGATAACCCCTCTCCTGTAGCAGTTCTTGAATTATTGGCAACAACATCCATACCAGAATTGAATGAGCATTTCAAACGGGTTTTTAATTATGCTGATCTACTTAAACCTACAGAAGTTTGGGTTATTCATTTTTCTCGGGAGGATGACGTTGTCAAAAATCCATATTGGCCCTGTAGTAAACAACAGGAGAGAGGGCTTAATGTTATACATTTCTGGCACAACAAAGACTTTACAAATGTCCGGATGAGTGCCAGATCTCGAGATGTCACTGGTAAATTTTACAAAATAATAGATGAGCAAATCCTTCCCTAATATATTTTATTTTTTTGATGCATCAATAAAGTGGCTCTGGTGGCCGATTTATAATTTGTTTACTTTTGCATGTATATTTCGGGATTTTATTATATTGATGAATATATATGATCAACTGGCAAGTTCTTGACCATTGGTCAGGATATCACGTGTTTTATTTATGCTACAGTAGTTAACATTAACCCAAAAATTAAACAAATCGTTTTTATAAAAAGTTATTATTAAAAATGCAATCTGAATTAGATTTATTAAAACAAAGAATTATTGAGCTTGAAACTAAAAATGCTTGGCTTAAACATGAGAATACAAAATTAAAGCAAATTGTGACGGATTAAAATGAAATCGGATCAAAATGAAATATTGTACAATGTAAAAAATAGACAAACCATCAAAATACAAAAATTTTTGAGATGTATTTTTTAAGGTTAGGGTTAGAGGTTAGTTTTAGGTTAGAATTTATAATAAACAAGTATAAATAGGTTTTAGGTGGTTAAATAGAAGCTCTTATTTCATTTTAATTATGATCCGCGACAATAATTACATAAACTTGGATAAGTGAATAGTGATATTTTTTACTTCGCGCTTCGCTTTTGACAGCTACGTGATTTTGAATTGACTTGCATTAATATAAAACGATAACATGTCTTCTGATACTACCTCCAACAAGATATTAACTGATGACTATTGCAAATGGCATGCTAATTTAGTTGATTTACCAAGTTCTCAGACAGATAAAATTCGTTCAAGATTATATAAAGCATATATGGAAGAGACTGGACTCGATCCTTGGATAATGTCTGAAACTCTCGAATCCCCACAAACCAAAAAGACTGATAATTGCATCTTACAGGACAGTTCGCTGGAAACTCAGGTACCGCAGATGAATGTTCTATCTATATCACCCAAACGACAATTTCCAATTTCTGTTCTATTGCGGAGCAATGGCTCTTCGAGCCTACCAAACAATCCTGAAGAAAGACAGCAACGTGTTATTAAAATGGTATTAGAGCGATTTCCTGATTTAACTCTAAAACATAGCTTTAAATATAGTAATTGTTTTGATTTTAATAGATCTGTACCCTGTCCTTTATGTGATAAAAACCATAAGAAAGAAAATATAAGAAATCATATAG